GCAAATAGTTGTAAGACGCTACAAGAGAGCATCCTATATGATTAATGAATGTTAGTCTGCTAATCGTATAAGTGAATAATAGAACAAAATAAAAAAAAAAAAACTGGTCATATAGAATTTTCATTGATTTTCTTCGTTACTTTCAAGTTATTTTATTTATTTAAAGTTTTTCTTAACACATTCATGTCCATTTGAACAAAAATTGAGTATAAGAAACATAAATAATTAAAGTATACTTACAAGTAATGCAATTCTCGTTTATGAATTAATATTACATTAATATAATGCAAATGAATGAAAATACTGCTGCTTTTTAGGATTGAGTAAACAAACACAATGATCACTTAATATATTTTATTTACGTAGGTAAAAGCTATAAGAACAAGACGTGCTAAAGTGGTCGACTCCTAAAGAACGTTAATAATATATTAATTGATTAATTAAAATTCAAGTAGAAAAATATTATAAGCGACTAAATGTCACAAAACACAATCATATACTTCTCATTTAATACTGATTTTGTTTTTCGTTTCTATTACATTATTATCAGTCTTTTCTTTTTGTCAGCCAATCATCTAAAGCAACATTCAAATGCCGTGTTTTGTTTCCATTACACACATCATGAATTACAATTTTATTACAAAATTATATAAATTAATATAGGTCAAATATAACCATTAAATGAGAACATTTCTTATTAATTATAATAATATTAATATTGTAACATCTAGTATATCATGAGGAAAATCTAACTGTTTAATATTGAATGCATGTACATTGAAATTAATTTAACACAAGGACTGTGTAGAATGAAAATTATTATTAGCTAAATGATCTTAAGTGAAAAAGAACAAATAACAGCAAGTCATTACTATATACTGAATTATTAGCTTACAGGAGCAAGCATTTTAAGTGCTTAGTTTTGATCGAAATAATTGATAATTATTTCAATTTTCTATTAATTCTAATCTATTGATTACCGATTTAAAAACATCGCAAAAAATTAGGCACACTTTAATGTTTCAATATTTCTTATTAAGAAATATTCTCTTTTTTCGTGATTTTTCATTATTTTTAAATAATTGAAACCTCGCTTATTTTTT